GAGTTCTCATAAGACTAACAGCTGATTTCTCAAAAGAAATCTTACAGGCAAGAAGGGGCTAGAAAGAAGCAATCAAAGTAATGAAAGGCAAGGACCTACATCGGAGATTACTATATACAGCAAAGCTATCATTTAGAATGGAACGGCAGGTAAAGTGCTTCCCAGATAGAGTCAAGTTAAAGGAGTTCATCATCATCAAGCCCTTATTATATGAAATGTTAAAGGAACTTATCTAAGAAAAAGAAGATCAAAACTATGAGCAGTAAAATGACAACAAACTCTCAACTATCAACAACTGAACCTGAAAAAAACCCAAAAAACAAAACAAAAGCAAACTAAGCAAACAACCAGAACAGAAACAGAATCATAGAAATGGAGATCATAGGGGAGGGGAGAGGGAAAAAAGAGGGAAAAGGTACAGGGGATAAGCAGCATAAATAATAGGTACAAAATAAGCAGGGGAAGGTTAAGAATAGTATAGGAAATGGAGAAGCGAAAGAACTTATATGCATGACCCATGGACATGAACTAAGGTGGGGGGTGGGAAGCTGGTGGGAGAGAGGATGCAGGAAAGATGGGAATAGAGGGGAGGAAAAAATGGGAAAACTGTAATTGCATAATCTATAAAATATATTTTATTTTAAAAAATGTTGTCAGTTTTAAGTTAAAATTCCTCCTCTGCATATCTTATTCTCAACCGAGTCATTCTTTGTCACCATCACCCCACACAGTAGGATAGCTGGCCACAGTGGAAATTCCAGAGTGATTGTTCCAGTCTTTGGCTATCTGTATATAGCCATTCATGTCCCAACATTTACCCCAGCTATACTTGACAATCCAACATTTATTTTTACCTGATTCTGTTCCTTCAAAGCCACAACCAACCACCAGAATGGTCTACGTTTCTGCTGCTGCAGTGTGGATCATAATAAATCCCTTCTTTATAAAACCAGAAGCTAAAATGGCTTGTGTCTATAGCAACAGAGATGGGCCCCACAGTTGCCACTGCCTTCATAAAGGACCTCTCCTGCTGATGGATGTCCACAAAGGCAGTGTCATTGGCAACAGAATCCTTGGGCTTCTGTTTGCAGGATCCAACCTTGCATGGTATGGATAGGATTCCTCTGAGTCCAGGCCTCCATTGGACTTAACATACTGGAATGCATTATCCATTAGGCCTTTGCAGTCCTTATTGCCTTGTGGCTGAGAGCAGTTCACAAAGTTCTGCTCACTTAGTGAAATAAGTCTGCCAGTTTTCCAGAACATCTGTCTTTCAAGGACACCAGTTGCACTAACAAGCCCAACAAGAACCACAGTGACCCTGATTCTTCCTGAAGGAGTTACATAGCCTTCCTCTCTCCAATCCACAGTTGGGGGTGGGGGGTTTTCAGCAAAGAGAGGTTCCTGTAAAACTGTCCTTTCCTTGTGTTTCATGTTTTGAAAGCCATGTGTCACCTGCCTGACACATGTCACCAAAGGATTCATTGCCACAGTGAAGCTATGTTTTCCTAGGTGGTATTCTTGGTTGTGTAGGTCAATCATTTTCATATTCTTCTCCCACACTGCACTCCTCCACCCTTCCTCATTCAAGCCATATAGTTTCATGTGTACCACCTTCCACTGGTTCCAATATGCATCTAAACTTCCATCAAGTTTTGGAGCAACTGAAGCTATTCCTAAGTAAAAGGCAGTCAGGAAGAGTGAAGGATATATATTTCAAAAACCTGCAGTGGGCAGAGTCAGCACATGCAGATCCAGGGGTCTTTGAGGCTGGAGATTCAGTTTTCAAACAAATCACTTCTCAAACAGTTTTCCAAAATGAATTAAGTTCAAGAACCAAGGTTCCACTGTATATCAAGAATAATGAGAACTGGGATTCTCACAGTTGAAGGACATTGCAAGTTGGAAAGGGAGAAAACTGGAAAGGAACCCCCTGTGGTGCTAAATTGGATCTGGAAGTATCCATGTGCAATTCAGGTTTTTGGGATGTAGAGGTATGTAGATGTGGGAATAAATATGTATATATGTGTACTACTTATAGTCTCTAGTGAGAAATGAACACAGGTAGTGCTCAAATTTGCATTTTCTCTACAATTTTCATTAAAAATGACTTAGGGAATCTTGCATCAATGTGGGGCAAGGGAGGTACAAGGAGAACCTGGGACATCACGCTGTGCTACAAAGTAAGAAAGTGCTCAAAACCATGATGCTTACAGATCAAAAGGACACCGAAATCAACTGGAAAGGACTCCTGCTGTCCAAATCAGGGACAGTTTGAACACCAAAGTAAATAGTAATAGTAAAGGATTATAACCCCTTGAACAAAAAAGAAAGCCAGGCATCCATGCTGATATAAATAACTGAGAATTTGATGAGAAATAGGAATGTTTATATATTTTTAAACTAAGTACCAAAAATATCCATATTAATTGCAAGGGGGAAACAGAATAGTAGAGAAGCTTGGCTGACACCACCTTAATCAAGCGATCAAAGTGAACGTCACCAATCATGGGCAAGTCCAAATCCTGTGCCGCTGATACGATGCAGTGAGAAGAGTACAGGATAATGTCTGTGGTATTTCTAAGAAAAAATGCATAACCTCAATACACCCTTGAGGAAACTTAAAACAAGCTCAAATCGAGAGATATTCTACAATAAAACTCACCCAATCTTCATGTCAAGGTTATGAAAACTAAAGAAAGACAGAGGAATAATTGCAGACTGAAGGAAACTAAGGAGGTATGACAATCAGTTTTTCTCTGTGATTCTGGACTGGATCTTTTGGCATTCTTGGAGTATTACTAGAACAAGAGGAGAAACCTGAATTGGTTCTGAGGATTTTGATGGCTGACTGTAAGAAAATGTTCTTGTTTACAGAAAATACACCAATAATATTCAGGGTGATAGGGTATTATGTCAGCAAATTACTGTTAACACGCTCAGGAAAAAAAGTTCTTTGTACTGTATTTGCAACTTTTCCGTTAGTTTGAGTCATTAAAAGTAAAAATAGCCTTCTTGTGCCACTCCTGGTACTGCATGTGTGCTTGTCCACTATGGACCTGGTATCTCTTTTGTGAGATAACTGCTGAGGAAACTCTAATGCTCACCAGGGCCTATGAAAAGCCCAAGGAAGGAGTCAGGACTGAGAACAACAATCATATTAATTAGAAGGTGGCGAGGCAAGATGATTCTGTGGTGCAGTTTAAGATTAAGAGGCACACACCCAATGCAAGCATATTGTGAACAACAGGGTTTGTGAATGAGACAGATCAGACTCTGATTTTATGGGCAGCCAGGCAATGAAACAGACACACCTGCACAGCCGGAACTGAAGGATCAAGTTACAATTGATGTGTTCAAGCAGCAGACAGGAGGTATCCACTAAAAAGGGAATCTGCTACTTTACTCCAAAATTCTGTTTCTCCTGACTGAAAAGACATTCTCAGTTAAAAAACTGCAATTCAGCTCTACCATATCCTGACTACTATAGTATGCAAAAGCTTTCTCTGTTCATTCATTTCCCCTTTCCCATTCCTTTATTGTATATAACGGAATGTATGTGCAAAAAAATAAATATATATATAGGATAAAATTTAATTGTTTAAAGCAAAATAATAAATTATGTTGTAGAGTTTATAAATACATAAAATAAAATGTGTGGCGATAGTAACATGAAGCACAGGGGAAGGAAAATGAAATATACCCTTGTTAGGTTCTTACATTATATGTGAAGTAGTCAAAAACTATTTGAAGGCATAATTTGTAATAAGTTGAAAATGCATATTGTAAACCCTAGAGCAGCCATGGATAAAATAAACAAAGAAACATTAGCGGTCAAAAGTGTTAAGAGTTCAAAGACAAAAATAAAACAGCTATTTAACTGTAGGAAGGAGTGTGGTATGGCTTAGAAAAACAGCTAAGAATGACATAGTAATGTGACACAAAAAGAGAATAATTAGGACAAAAGTGATAGACTTTATTACATAAAGCTTTAAAAGTTTGTTCATCAAAAGACTTGAGGGCAAAATTGAAAGCAAACATCAAGTGTAGAGGTGGGGGAATCTCAAATAAATTCCAGACCAAGGGTTCTTATTACCAATATGTTAAGAGCTATTACAAACTAGTAAGAAAATTATAGGAATTCAAGTTTTAAAAAGAATAAGATATGATCAAGTAATTTATAAAGATGGAATAATGGGCAAAATATCTTTATCCATGATATATATATATCTATATATCCATGATATATATATAAAGTGCAAGATATAGATATAGATACAGATAAATATAGATATAGAGCTTGTACCCCAAAATAACTTAAGCTCAATTCTGTACATTTAGAAGGGTGGATTTAATACATGGGATTTTATAATGTAAAGCTGCCATCAACCAGAATAAGGTGCTGTTTTACAACTCTTGCACCATTTATCAGGTAGTCCCAGGCACTGGATATTACTTATCCATTAAAAAGGGACAGAATGTAACCAGTACTTGGAATTAGGGCTTATTTTGCAGAGATCACTTCAATGAGTTGGAAGATACAGATATGTGATTCTTGCCTTTATGAAATCACAATTAAAGGAAGAGAAATTATATGCATAAATATTTTAACTAACTGAAAGTTGCAATAAGACAAGTCCCATGAACATTCTAGAGTAGAGGCATAACTTTAAGATTAAAGAATTAGAAATTAGAGATTAAAAGGTAAGCATTAGGTACCTAAACTCTGTTGCACCTTAAATGACAATATATTTTCAAAGGAGGGAGGAAAAACATTCTTTTCATCTTATTTCTTACAGCTTTAATTTCTCCAGTTTTGATTGTTATATTTATCTAATAGCCATCCAAATGAATAGCCTCCAAAAAACGAGATAGCCCACAGCTAATTATAAAAAATACAGTTCCTCAAAATAAGGCTTCCATCATTCATGTAAGATTTATAAAACCACTCTTTAAACAAGCATTGTGAAAATAACTAGGTAAGATAAACTCATACAAACCTGTAATACTGCTCTTTCTGGTAATAGTGAAATGTCACATTCAGGAATCTCACCTACATAAGAGTCTTCAGACAGACTTTGTTCAGAAGTGACTTGTTCTTTAGCAGCTTTTCGGTATTTTATTTTGTTTCTCCATCTTTTCAATAGAAGTTCATGTTTTAACAACTGCCATGAAAATAATTTACAAATTCCATGGAATTGTTATAAGGGTTAAATGAGATGATATATACAAAGCACAATGTTTGACACAATGATAGTACGTGTTAAACATTACTATTATCATCAGTATATAAACGATCGTTATCCAGAGCATATTTAATATTCTCTGAACCACTAAAGCATTACAGAACATTTCCATTAGTTGTCATTCAACACTGGCGCAGGCAGCCTTATTGAAAATGTGGCCCAGCCTCCTCTTTCATAAACAAGAAAGCTGAAGCCCACTGTGTCAAGATTCTGGTAACAACAGAAGCAGTATTTGGAGCATGAAAGGGAGATAGCACAGAAATCAAAAGGAGAGTCAGAAAGAAAGAATTTGGGGATTTGCCTGATTTATCATTACAGGAAGTCCCAATTTTAACTTTTCTTACAGTCTTGAAAACCGTATAATAAAGGAAAAGGTCTCAAGGGTAAATAAGTGTTTCTCCCACTCACACACAATTTTATTTATATATATGTATTGGAGCCTAAGTAAGAGCATGCTTTGGAAAACTAGCATGCAGAAATGTTCCGTGAGTCTCCTCCTGGTGCACACCCACCATCCTCATTATCCCTATGTGCCTGCAAAATGACTGTGTGGCCAAAAATCACAAGCTAGAAGAAAATATTTTCTCCAAATACCCAATTAACTATACTATCATACACATGCACATTAAGGAAAATGTTATTATTTTATATGTAATATGCACTATTATGCATATATTAATATATATCTACTGTGCACAAAACATTATGCTCAATGTATGGAGACGCTTAAGAGAACCATACTGTCTGCTTTCAGGGATGTTCAGTTTAAGTGAGGTATGTAAGGGGCAGATTGGTCATGTGCTGTTACCTATTTCTACATTAGACAACCAATGTCAGACATGTAGAGCTGGAGTCAAAACTCTAGGGTACACAAACTGGGGGAAAACACTGAGTAAGCAGAATTAAAACAGTAATACTCAATGTATAACTACTTCCTGGCAACACTGAAAATGTAGTCCACAGAAGACAAATACTAGAGGATATCCTGTAACCAGTTCAAAACCAGTAGATGATAAACTTCTAAGGAGCAAGAACTATACTTTAAACATCTCATATCCACCACAGACTCTAGCACTGTTTCAAGCATTATATGAGCAATAAATCTTTTCATACTGTCTTTTCCAAAGTGTGTAGTATCATCAGTCTCAACATCCGAACCGATTTTGGGTGGGAAGCATTGATACTGCCTTCCACAGGGACAACCACAAAACAGAAGGTTTAATTTCTTCCTATTTTTCTCTTTCTTTTTATACCAACTTTGCATTTCAAAGAATAGTAACAATGTAACTACAAAAATTCCCAGCATGTTTCTATGTCCAATCCTGGAGTTACTATGACTATTCTAAAACATTAAATAATAATATATTAACAGCTTAAGCAAACTAGAGATATTTTTAAGTTTTGAGGAGTTTGCTTGGGTCTTCCATTTTAATTGCTGTAATTCCTGGTGGGTGTTCCAGTTCAGAATGATCCTTTAAGCTTGGCAATTTAGGAATTTTAAAAATAATTTAACATTAAGATTATAATTTATTAAATTGAATGTTTGAAAAGAAATAGCAATTTAATCTCTCTAGAAAAAATAAATTTACTCCATATTTATCATTTATTCATTATAACCATATCAGATAGTTTCTCTTCCATTTTAAATATCTATATCCATCTAAATACTTGCTTAAAAAATCCTCAATATCTTTATAATAAACTTAGACAAAATGTTAAAAGATTGTTCATTGATGTTCCTAGTTGAAAAGAAACAACAGAATTTATTTAGGAAACCTTTTGGGTGGCTGAAGTGAAATTTAAATTATTAAGTTAAAAGAACAAACACCCCATCTGAAGCACATAAGGGTCAGAATTTAGTACTTTCCACACATAGCATTATTATCTCAGGCAACATCAATACAAGAGCAAAATTGTGTTTCTAAAAAAATTGTTTCCAATATACCATACCAGCTCATTTTCTCTCTTTTGATACTTAAGTCTTGCTTTATCCCTCCATTTAGTTAGGATAATTATTAGCTTGTTATAGTGGACTATCTGTTGTATCCGCAATAGTGTATCTGAAAAAAAATTTATTAGATTACTGTATATAGTTAAAGCTGTTTCCAAACAAATGTTTAATATACTATCATGTTTATAATATAAACCAATGTTGTGTCCAATAGTTTTTGTTTGATTTTAATTACATCTGAAATTAATTACTTTTTACAACAGTAGGAAGTACTCCTGAGACTTTATTAACCTGTAAACATCACCTTTTCCCTTAGAAATTAAGGTGTAGTAGATGTAATAAAATGTCGAGATGTGTATATACTGAGATCTGCCCAGAAAATGTCCAACCATTGTCAATATAATGAGGACAATGTGGATGTAACCTGGCAATCAAGGAGAATGGACTGGAATGCACATGCATGAACAAAGACAACCTCACTGTACTAGTCAGTGCGGGCAGTAGATGCTCTTGAGTGAGCACGTGTACTGTGTGGCCATCGCATTCAAAATGACTGAGTGAGTAGAGCAACAAATCTGCATCATATATTGCATTAAGCTCGGGCATTTCTCCACAGAAACTATTCGGATGATTCAGAAGGCCAAAGCTATGGGCAACTGGTGATTGGCAGCTTCACCCCAACAATGCGCCCACTCATGCATCATGTCTTGTGCAGTTTTTTGGTGACACATCGAATCACCTAGGTGACTCAGCCCCGCTACAGCCCAGATTTGGCGCCCGGGGACTTCTGTTTTTTCCCAAAACTAAAATCACCTTTGAAAAGGAAGACATTGCAGACTGTTGGTAAGATGCAGGAAATACAACAGGGCAGCTGATGGCAACTGGGAGAACTATGTGAGGTCCCAGCATGCCTACTTTGAAGGGGACTGAAGCATCATTGTCCTATGTATGATGTTTATTGTATCTTGTATCTTCTTCAATAAATGTCTCTATTTTTCATAGTACATGGCTGGATACTTTATGGACAGGTGATTTCTTTTCTAAACAACTCTGTTCTTTGTAAAATCAGGACTTCCAAATTTATTCATAGAAATACAATTATGAAGTAGTATTCTGATTTAGGTAAATGTCCTCTGATTAAATAGATTGCCCAAAGTTCAAATACAGGGACCAGGAAGGAGGATGACTAAGGCAGGCCTGGGGACACCGTTCAAGGAAGGCAGTGGCTTCTTTGCTGCAACAATTGTTTCCTATCAGAAATAGAGCCCATTCTCCTTATGTTAAAACCTTCTGAGTACCTACTCTGACAGCAGATGATCGAGAGGAAATGATTCTCTGATTTGCAGCAGCCATAAACAAATCAGTATCTGGTGAACTGGATAAAATCTAAGCAAAAGCCTGGAGTTCTCTATCCCTGCTCTTAAGATCACATACATGCACTGTCCACTCCTTACAACCATCAAGAGTTTAAGTAAAATAAAATTATTACTCTTTAAGTTTCCTAATGTTATCCATTAAATAAAATATCTATAAAGAATACAAAGCCCTCTACAAAAAACAGTCAATTTTGGTACCTAGCTATAATATACCAACTATTATGTAAAGAAAAGATCATAGTAGATTCTTATTTATATTTATATTTGTGCGTATACCACAAAAATACATACAGAATTTTATTTTAAATATGCCAGTTTTCTATTACAAAAAAACCTTTGAGACAAATCTCATTAAGTATTTTAATTAGTAGCTTTATGTTTCATGACAATTCTCTAGATATAAAAATAAAAAATTTTCTAGTATAAACTATGCTTAACTTTTTTTTGATTCTTTGAATACAGGAATACAAAAATATAATTGCTAATATGAAAGGATTTACCTTTAAGTTGTTCTTTTTGAGCTTTCACATAAGAGCGCCAGTGATGAAATACATATTTTTGAAGTCTGAAATCATTATATTTCATTGCTCTTTCCATTTTTTCAGTCAAAATGTCATCTTCACTTACATGAGGTATTGCTAGGTCTTTCCAGCTGCTATAGGAAGAAAACAGAGAAAATAATATTTTAATGTTATGGCAATACATTATTAAATAAATTGAGAAACAGAAAAAGTAACACCTTCTTTATCTCCTCAAAAACCACAGCATAGAAAGAATTCATTAAATTATTTTTATTGCTTTATTTCTAGCCAGTCCTTACATTTCCTTTGAGTTTGTACTACCCTTTTCTACATTTCTGAAGCCCAGCAAACTCTTAAGTCCAAAAAAGTTTTTTTCATAATCTATGTAAAGGCAAAACAGATATGACCTACACTACTTTTGCATCAAAATCTCTCTGCATCTGACACATGGCTGTTCATAGTCTTTCTTCATTTTGCTTTATAAAAACATGTATCTCACTGTAGAAATACTAATACATTCAAATATGTTTGGTTTCAATGCGCCAGCTCAGATACTACTAAAGATATTATATAACATACACATTATTTATAGAGATTACCTTCATAAAATTATTTTTAAAAAGGAATCTAAATTCTAAAACATATCTGGCTCCAAAGATTTCAGATAAGAGAATTATAGACCTATATTTTGAATTTTGAAATTTTATATAAAAAAAAGGCAAAGTGACACATTGGAGAAATAAAGAACATATTTTAAGTTAGTAAAAGCCAATTAATTATAAAAGAAATAAATAATAAAAATGGTGGAGACATGATTAAATAGATAAAATCAACACAACTGGCCAAAAGTGAGCTTTTCTTCATATGGAGACTATCAAGAATAAGAACACAAAGAGGAATAAATAGTATATAAAAATCATATTCTTACCAAAAGTGGGTCTTTACTAAATGTCCAGTGTAAAAAGTACATGCTTTTATCATCAATTCTGGAGTCATCTAAAATAAATAAAATAACAAATGTTAGAAATAAATGCAATGCACAGGCCACCTCTGGGAGGTACACAGGGAAATGAGACCAGTGGTTGTGTCTGGGAGCATAACGTGGCAGTAAGGAAACAGGAAGAGACCGGAAGAACTATACACCATTTATATAATTTGAAATTTCATTGTGTATGCCTATTACTTATTTTTTAAAAGTTAAAAGCACAGCTTAAAATTTTCCCATTATATTGCATTGCCTTTAAAGCATTTTAAGGTAAGTACTATGACATTATTATCATCAGCTATATTGATCGGATTGTAGAATTGTGGGTCTGCTGGTCACTGTGTCACCATTAAACTGAATGATTTTGCCTTCTCAAGAGTATAGAATAAGAATTTTCTTTAAAAAAAAAATATAGAAATCCCTCAGTTACCAACCAGAAATAAAAACCAAATAAATTAAAAGTGTAAACTGATGAATATGCTGAAAAAGATGCAAATTTATCACTTGCAACTATTCATAATAATACATATTAATATGTGGGAACAGCTAAGGATTGCTGAAATTGTCTGTACTTCCTATCCATTCTTTAATATATTAATACATTTATTACATGTACATGACTACTGTAAAGTATTAATGATGTATATTTTCTCTTATGTTATTGCCACCTTCTGTACCATATAAATACACTAATATATGGTTACATCTATTTGGTGTAGAGGTGTTTGGTTCAAATCTATTTCAACTGCCCTGAATTCTGAATTCTACTTTTCTAAGTCAACCTTTTTTCATCTTTGCACATTGTTGTAAATCTTTGTTAAGTTAATAATCATAGATTTATTTCAGTCATATAACAAAGCCCCTTGGGACCCCAGAATATGAAATTCAGTAATGACATTTGGAAATCCTCACTTTTGATGAGGATTATATGCAAATTATTCTTGTGGTGAGGGAGAATGTAAATCACTAAAGTCATTCTTTACTAAATTATGCTAAATTCTGATTTTGGGGGTGAGATGCGGAGAGAAATCCAGATAAGTAAGAGTATTGTGGATATCATAGTAGGGAATACAAAACCAAAAAAGTAATGAGGTGGCAGAGGCAAAGGCAATTTCATCTGTATTTCTGTTTTTCAGCTCTGCTATTTGTCCCTCAATTTCTTAGGCCTAACTTCTTTTTAGAAGATGTAACCTGGAAAGTGCTATATAAATATCTACAATAAATGGCACAGGTCATAAAATATAAATATATGGTCAAATGAATAGTTCAAAATATGGTAATAATGACTTTGAAATGAAAATTATATCTCAGCCACTTGAAGTTATCTAATGCTCATCTCTTTAAATCGGCATAAAAGTATTGTTTCTAGTCTATTGTTGAGTTTGTAATTGTAATATTCCCTTCTTTTAGTACTTTTTTCCCTAAATTCTCGTTTTCATTTCACATATATTGTTCACCCAGTTAAAAAAAAACACTAATAAACTTAAAATAACCATGATTTTTCCTAATTGTTGGCAACCTTTTGTTTTCTCCACTGGAAAAAATGATTTAAAAGAGCATCTCCAAGGGACTGGCCTCCAGGCCAGTGATGCCTCATCCCCAGCTGGGGGTTGGGCATGCATCAGCTCCAAGGCAGCTCAGAAGTGACCAGTCTAACCACCAGTCACATGAAAGTACAGTGGGTAACACATTTTTACTCAAATGCTCAAAGTTTTGACACTGACATTCCAGCAACATGCTTTCTACTCTTCACAGCCATTGTATATTGGTTAATTGCTTGTGATTGGAAAATATTCTCTGACCTTTTTATTCCAGCCCGCAATGCATAGCACAGAGTAGAAGCTCACCAAATATGGATGGATGGATTAAATTAGACAACTGCCTAGATGCAGGCCATTTCTCTATCATCTGGTCATTACAAATGGAGGGTAAAAGATTCAGACAACTTTGTTGGGAAGGTGCTGGGTAAAAAACAATTTGGTGTTGGTATGGAGGACCTCAGAGTGAGAGCCCTATTTCCAGACCCTCACAAACCATTTACCCCACCAACTTCCCACAAGGGCTGCAGCACACAGGCACCATCTAGTTATAACTGAAGAGAGAGAGGAGGAGTGGAAGGTTCATCACCATATGATTTCTGAGAGTCCAATTATATTGTAAGACTAGTTTTGAGTCTGGAAACTAAAGAGAAAATTCTGCCATGGGAGGTGGTTTCTAAGGTTAAAGAATGGCAATGTCAAAGTAATAAATTAGTTTTAAAAGAATTTTTCCAACATTTAGTTAGAATTTGACATTCCTCTTTTCTTTTAGACCTGTGGTCCCTTCTCCAGAGGTTGATTAGAATCACCTATGAAATTTTTTTAAAACTACCCATGCTCACTCCCCTGCCTTCCTTAAGGGTCCCTCACATCCACCCTGTCTAGGAATTACCTCTATGATGAATCACTATTACTTCTAAGAGTATGTCTTACCCCTCCTGTACACTGGGGACAGAAAAATGCAAAGGCCCTCTGTATTAAGCAGAGTTCTGATAGGATACAATATGATTCAGTGAAAACAAATTCAACTTAATGCCTTAGTTTCAAGGAAACATTTTTATAGCTGGAAGAAAGATAAAAAGAAGTGAAATACAACATGATTTTGTCTTAAAAAGTATTTTATTTTTTAAAAATTTCAAACTTATGGAGAAGTAGAATCAATACCTAATACCCATAGTCTACATTTAAGTGTCAACATTCTTGCATACTTGCTTTTTCTGAAGTATACAAACTGGATTTTGAAGTATATAAAATATATATAATGACATTTCATGCCTAAATATATTTACTATCTATCTCTATGCACATTTTCTTCACAACTGCAATTCCATTTTCCCACCTTAGATAATTAATAATTATTTTTTGATATCAACATCACCTAATACCCACACCATATCCAAATCTCTAGGATGATTTCCCCTAAATGCTTCATTCAGTTATGTTCAAACTAGGATCTAAACAAGGATGACATATTTGTATTAACAATTCAGTTTATGAGAAGAATTTTCCAGCTTTTCTCATTATTTTTTTCTGAATTTTTCAACATTTAATGAATATTAGTAGCAAGGAAAGGATGGTTCCAGCCTAAATTTGATGAATTCCATTATCTGAGCATCTCTAATGCATTTTTAAAGTAAAGGTTCTAGAAGTCACTTTAGATATTTTTGTTTTGAATTTGTTTTGACAAGAGGAAGGAGTTTTCTTTTGTCATCTGAAAGAATAACTAGAATGGGGGGGGGCACATAGCATCTGCCTTAGCCCAATGGATTGGGGCTCTAGCCTTAAAGAATAAGGTTCAGCAGACAAAATCCAAAAGAACTGTTCTCATGAGGCACAGGACACTGTTCAGCACCAGTAAGGAAAGGTATTAACCCACTTGCATAGAGCACACACAGCACAAAGCCATCAAATTTTGTGTGACTTTCAATTTTAAAATTTGAAATAATGTGGTAAAAATATTACAAAATTCTTAGATTAAGACAAATTTCGAAGTACAATTCCTCAAATTAAAATTTTACCTAGAAGCATTTCCTTTCAAAGCTGGTGGCAAAATGAATTGAAAGTTTTAAGTTCTTACTACACAGTGGTACTATTTTGGCTGGTAAACAAATTTGGCTTTAGTCTTGAAGTGCAAGTTTGACTTGGATGTCATCAGTGATCACTGGGTAAGGTTTGAGTAGAACAAAGAGTCCAGAGAAAGGAGCACTATTTTGGCATCTTAAGGAGTTACGGTTGAAGAGCCTGGAGCTCCATTCAGTTAGACATTGAAGCTCTTGAGAAGTCTGGAGCAGCAGCACAAAGGCTCCACCCTCATATGGCTTCATGGTTTGGGACAGAGACACTAAAGGAATTTCTTCAATTCACATGGGACAGTTTTGGGGTTCCCGGAAACAACTGATTGGAATTTTGAGGGAAACCCAGTCTCCTGTATCATGAAGATAGGGGCTAAAGGAAGTGAAATTTGGAATGTTACTGTCAATATTGTCCTGCTTGTACCGCAGGTTGGTGAAACCTGGGGAAATTTTGCAATAAGTGAAAATATAATGAAATACAATTAGAAATCATAAATGCTAACTTATAGATACTGAATTTATGATTTCTAATGTCAATAGTAATTTGTCCCATAAATTTTTAACTTTGTAAGACACCATGTATTTATTATATATGAGGAAATGGATATATTTAAATAATACCTGTAGGAAAAAAGTTTACTTCTATAATATTTGAGGTATCTAGTATAATATTAGAAGTCTGGTAAGACTCAAATGAAAAATAAAGGTAAATCTTTCATCACCATTAACCTGGCATTACAAGAAATGTTAAACAGAATTCTTTAGGTGGAAAAGAAAAAGCAAAACTAGAAATAAGAAAATACATAAAAGAAAAAAATCTCACTAAAGGCAAATATATAGTAAAGGTAGTAAAACAACCACTTATAAATTTAATATGAAAAAAATTAAAAAGCAGTAAGTACATATCTATCAATAACTCCTTTAAATGTAAATGGGCCAAGTGCTCCACTCAAAAGACACAGGGTGGCTGAATGGATTAAAAAACAAGACCTTTACATATGCTGCCTATATGAGCCTCACTTCAGATCAAAAGACACATACACAGCCTGAAAGTAAAGGGATAGAAAAATATATCTCATGAAAATGGAAATTTTAAAAAAGCTAGGATAGCAGTACCTATACAAGACAAAATAGACTTTTAAACAAAGGCTACAAGAGACAAAGAAGGATCCACCAATTCCACTTCTGGGCACTTATCTGAAGAAAACAAAACATTAACTCAAAAAATATTTGCACCCTTATGTTCACTGCAGCATTCTTTATAATGGCCATGATATGAAAGCAGCCTGGGTGTTCATGAGTAGATGTGTGGGTAAAGAAGTAGGGGTGTGTGTGTGTACATGCACACACACACTGGAATATTGCTCAACCATGAAAAAAAGAAATCCCGCCATTTGCCAC